ATGTGTCTTTATAGTAGAATGATCTATAATCCTTTGGGTATCTACCCAGTAATGGGATTGCTGGGTCAAATGGTATTCCTGGTTCTAGATCCTTGAGGAATCTCCACACTGTCTTCCACAATGGTTGAACAAATTTACACTCCACCAACTGTGTAAAAGTGTTTCTGTATTTCCACACCCGCTTCAGCATCTGTTGTTTCCTGCCTTTCTAATGACTGCCATTCTAACTGGTGTGAGATGGTATCTCATTGTGGTTTTGATTTGCATTTCTCTAACAACCAATGATGATGACCTTTTTTTCATATGTTTGTTGGCCGCATAAATATCTTCTTTTGAGTAGTGTCTGTTCATACCCTTTGCCCACTTTTTGATGGAGTTGTTTGTTTGTTTTTCTAGTAAATTTGTTTAAGTTCCTTGTAGATTCTGGATATTAGCCCTTTGTCAGATGGGTAGCTTGCAAAATTTATCTCCTATTCTGTATGTTGCCTGTTCACTCTGATGACAGTTTCTTTTGCTGTACAGAAACTCTTTAGTTTGATTAGATCCCATTTGTCAATTTTAGCTTCTGTTGCAATTGCTTTTGGTATTTTAGTCATGAAGTCTTTGCCCATGCCTATGTCCTGAATGGTTTCCTTCTAGGATTTTTATGGTTTTGGGTTTTGCATATAAACAGAGACACTTTCATATTAAACATAGGGAAAAAACCTAATGAAACTTAGTTTTGATTGAAAATTTTAGCACAGATTATGACTTTGTAAGATGTAAGACTCTGTCAGTGAATAAATGAAGACTCTTTTCTGGGATCACTTTTCTGACAATTGTGTGGCCCAGAAAGTAATGTTCAGTCCTATACTCCTTGCTTTGCTCAGAAAAACTTGCTTTCCTGAAGTATATTAACAGAAAATTTGAGGTTCACTAAGGCCAACAGATCAGATGCTGACTGCCATTGAAAAGATCGTTATTTGCAGGTCCCAACAGAAAGGACCATGTCACACCATGGGACCACCTGGGGAAGCACCAGGTTGGTCAGCTGGCAGAGGGAGTGGTTATCTGTGGGAAGGAAAGGATGGGACACAGCCAGAGGGGAGTCTGAGATTCCAGGAAAGGAGGTGGTTGTGGGAATGGGTTATAAATTGGTGAGTTTACATTTGAAAGGCTCGCTCTCAGGCAAGCTGTTTGCTACTGTTACCGAAACACCAGGGGTTTGGTCTAGGTTCTGCTGCCCCTCACGCAGAAAACCATGACCAAGACCCAAGACTCAAACGATTGTTGCCGAGGAAAAAGGCTTTGGTAGAGTGTTGTGGCCCGGAGATGGGATCTGTCTCAAATCTATCTCTCTGACTGACTAGAACTAGGGGTTTATATGGCAGGAAAGAAATGTAATAATGTGTAAAAAATCTGAACTAGGGAGGGGCAAGGAAGCAATCACAGTGAATGAGGGATCTGGTATCTGGAACAGTGATCTGATGGGTTTCAGTTCTTCGATACTTTTTTGAGAGGGTTGAAGATCCTTTCATGAGACAGGAACTCAGATTAAACAAATACAAGTTTCAAGCTTTAAGACCAGAAAGATCAATTTCTATGTTTATCCAAAACAATAGTCTATGGAACTATTGGGATGGTTTCACTGTCTCTAGGAAATGGCTAACCCTGGAGGTGGAGGAGAAGTCTGTCCAGGGCCAGCAAGGCTCCAGATGTCACAGAGTCAGAATAAAGAAAATAAAAGACACGTTTAGTACACCTGAAGTGTAACTAGAACTAGATCTTTGATCTTGGTACCCAAGATGACCCTGAAATGCCTTGTTTTGGGAACATGAAGGTATTTGAGGCTACTGCTGGAATGGGAAGGAGATCATTTATAAAGATGTTCCAAACTTTTGGGATGTCTAAACATTGAGGAGTTGGGTCTGAAAAACGGTGACTACAGCAAGAAAGAGCAAGCCAAGTCTGTAAGGACCTTGGGTCCATGAAGATATGGACCTAATGTGACTTGTGCCTATAGTAAAATTAGTGCACACAAGCGTTATTTATTCAAGGCATACTGTAAAATGATTAAACCACACTACAAGTGCCTTTCTAACACCCAAATGTTATCACTCTAGACCTTTGGATCTCTATTGTATGCCAATTTTGACCAACACCCAGATGTTATTACGCTATTAACTTGCAATCTCTGCAGATTGTCATGCTGGAGACTGAATGCATACCGTGTTTTATTATTCAGGTCGAGTTATCTATTGAATTAAGTGTAAAAGTGTAAAAAGTGAGGGTTGGTCTCTAGCAACCTGTAAATTGTACTTCAGATGCGGTAGCTTACACACCCCCCCACACATATCCACACACACACGTTTGGACCTGCCTTTTTAAATTCCTAAAATGGCACAGCTACCTGCATTTGTAATCAGGAAAATAATCTTGGTTCCTGATTGGAAATATTTTGGGGAAATGTCTCAGCAAAAGATTAAAAATATCAGGGCAGCATTGTTTCCCTAAGCCTCGTTTCTTTGGTAATCTTCACTCTCTGCCTCCCAGGCTGAGTGCTGCAGCCAAAAAATGCTGCAAATGGAAGCCGATGACCTGAAATGTTTCCTGCAGCTTGAAGTCCAGCCAGTGCTTGATTTTATTGCATTCTGCTGCTTGGTGACACTTGGAGGGACCATCCATTATGAGGTGGGCAGTTAAGTGACCCTGAGAAATTCTGAACCTCAGCAGGGGCCTTCTTCTGAGCTATGCTCTGGAGAATGGTCTCTAAAACAGAATGAATTTTTCTGCAGAGACAAGAAGAAGAGGTGGGAAGGGGAGACACAGTTTCTAAAGCCACCTCAAGCTACAGTTCAGTTTGGTGTCCTGCATAATATTCCTGTTTAAGTGGGAAGTGGCTGGGGTGGATTCTTTCCTTTATGGAAATTATAAGCAAAAATGTAAATCTGTTCCAAAGGGAAGACCAAGAGATCAATTCTGGCGCTCACGGACATCTTTCAGGGGTCATGGATGTCTGCATGTTGGAGTCAGGATTTGAACCCAGGTCACTCCGTATCCACAGCTCTGGAGTCGTTTTCTTTATCCCTGTTTGCACACAGCAAGCAATTATAAGTACTGTAAATACTCATGCCACTGGTCTCCTTCCTCTTCCTCTTCCCCTCCTCCTCTTCCTTCTGCTCGGGACTCCTTATTTCTCTCCTCCTGCCTTCCTCCCTCCATTTGCTCCTTCTCTTCCCTCCTTGTCATTCTCTGCCCCCTCCTCCTCTCTTCCTCTTTTCTCTTCCTCTATCCCTTCCTCCTTCTCCTCCACCACCTTCTTTCTTCCCATCATCATTATAACCACCATGCAGGGCATGTCTATTTTGCCCCAAGTGCTATTCTACCAAGCACTTGACCTGCAATAGCTCATTAAGTCATATAATCGGTATTGTTAACATCATCCCCATTTTACCACGAGGGAATGAACACTTGGAAACACGATGTGCCCCACCAAAGTACTCACAGTTAGCAAAGGGCTGACATTAGACCCTAGAATTGCCTGACTTAAAGTCAGTGCTCTTAACTCCTTGACGTCTGCTTATCTGTAAGTTAATTGTGCAGAAGAAAGCACATAGTTTTCTCCCTGGCATGGGTTAGTTGTCCTCAGGCCTTGTGGGTTTTTAAAAATTCCAGTGTCAATAATAAGTGTCCTGGTATCATTTCAAATGTATGTGGATTGAGTCGGCCTTACTTCTAAAATTACAGGGAATATTCCGATCCTCACACTGAGCTGGTCATTCTTACTGCTGGTGTTGTGCTCAGCACGGCAGGTGCAGGGGGCCAGGCTCTGCAGATTCTCAGAAGCAACTCCTCCTGAAACTGCTTAAGCGATGCCACTAGCCCCCCAAGACCTTTGCTTGCCCTGAGGGCCCAAAATGAGCTTCATTTAGAGTAATGCTGATTGCCAGTAAAGAATTTATGTCCCTAAAACAAATTATGGCTTTTAATTGGACACTATTATTTTTACTTCACTGTATCAGTAAAACCTGTTTGAAGAGGATTTTTATTTCTTTTTCTTTCCTTTTTTGAGACAGGATCTCACTCTGTTGCCCAGGTTGGAGTATAGTGGTGTAATCATGGCTCACTGCAGCCTTGACCTTCTGGGCTCAAGTGATCCTCCCACCCCAGCTTTCTGAGTAGCTGGGATCTCATGTGTGTGCCAGCATGCCTGGCTAACTTATATATGTGTGTGTGTGTGTGTGTGTGTGTGTGTATATCTTTTTTTTTTTTTTTTTTTGTAGAGACAGAGTTCCACTCTTTTGCCCAGGCTGTTCTTAAACTCCTGAGTTCAAATGATCTTCCCACACTGGCCTCCCAAAGTGCTGGGATTACAGGCATAAGCCACTACACCTGGCTAGATTTTAATTTTTCTTATTGAAATAACTTGTTAGAATTTCCTGGTGGGACATCCTATCAAGACATAAAATAGACATTTATGGAAAAGCAAAAATTCCATTTCCGAAAGCCGTTCTGTATACATGATGGTTGGGAGGCTTTTGAATACTGGAACCAAGAGGAATTATTCTCTGATGTCTGAGCGTCACAATGGTTTTATGCCAAGAATAAACCCAACACAAACAGTGTGGCTCTAAACCAAGAAACAAGTCCATTTTAAAGCAATGTCTATAAGCTTGGAAAGCACCTATTTTCTCTGGTGAGCTGTTAAAAATCCAAAGAGTTGAGCAATTACAGATTGCTTTCCAAAATCCTGTTTTCCTATTTTATTCTCTTCCAAAATGATTTTAAAAATATTTAACATGAACGAGTAACAGTATGGACTCATACATTAGCATGCGGCTCAACTTTGTGTTTTGTTTTCTCCCGAAGCTCTTGTGGTGAGGTGAAGAGGCAGACTGTGGAGGGTGAGCCTGGTAACTATGGCAACGGCACTGCCATCAATGAAGTGGCTCTGAAAGCCCCAGGCCCTCAGGCTGGGAGGCTAATTTCTACAAGAAAGCCTTTTCTGTGTTCAATTGGGGACAGGAAAGTGGCTGGTTGTGATGGGCTATGACAAACCTTCAGCCTGAAGACCCGGGAGGGAAAAATGTGAGTCTTACCCTTCACACATTAATTATTTTATGAGCAGATGAATGCAGTATGCTGGAAACCTGATGAATGTCGTTCAGGCCTGCTTGCCTAAACTGTACCATTGCTTCTTTCAATATGCTCCTGCAGAAACACATTGAATGCTCACCGTGTAAATAATTTGCACATGGCCTTTAAACCTTTCTCATTCTGTGACGGGTACCAAAGCTGTCTCGAGCATCTAAAAGGGATTATGAAAACCATCCTTTCTACAGAATTTGTTTTAAAATAACCCAACTCTTAGAATATTATCCTTCCATTAGTTGCTGGCTTAGTGGGATTTCCCATTCAGAAATGAGCAGGATTTAAAGTGGCTTGTCATTTGTGAGCCATGATAGCTAAAGTTGTCTACTGTGATCACGTTAGGAAGGGTGTTTATTCACAACTGTAAAATAATCAGTGCATTATAAATTCAAGAGGAAATAGATTCCAAATTAATAAAATGGGACTAGAAGCATTGAACCTGAAAAGAGGTTTAATATTGAATTCTAGAGAAAGAGGAGTGTTTAGTTTGGAAATTTTAGTGACAGCAAAAATATGCTTGAATTCCAGTTCATTTTGATTTACAACAACGTCTACATTGCAGGTGACAGTGGTAGAATCCTACGCTTTTTGGTTAGATCTTGGTTTTCTCATTTTCCAGATATTCAGTTGATATGGTAAGCTCTGTGTCTCCACCCAGATCTCACCTTGAATTGTACTCACATAATTCCCAAGTGTTGTGGGAGAGACCCGGTGGGAGATAATTGAATCATGGGGGTGGCTTCCTCCATACTGTTCTTGTGGTAGTGAATAAGTCTCACGAGATCTCATGGTTTTATAATGAGTTTCTGCTTTCGCTTCTCTCTCATTCTCTCTTGCTGCTGCTATGTAAGATGTGACTTTTTTTCTTCTGCCATGATTGTGAGGTCTCCCAAGCCACATGGAACTGTAAGTCCATTAAACCTCCTTCTTTAGTAAATTGCCGAGTCTCAGGTATGTCCTTATCAGCAGCATGAAAATGGACTAATAACAGTAATTTTGGGTGAAGGATTCAACCTCTTTTTGGGTGATTCTTCAGTTCTAAAATGGAGCTAAAAATAGTACCTTAGAATGTTGTGAGAATGAAATGAGATAATTTATGCAATGTACTTAGCACTGTGACCAGCCAGGGTTCAACACTGTTTTATATGCCAACGTCTACCCTTGATGACTCAACTGTGGCTAAGCTAATCAGGCTGTGTGCATATTTTTTGGAAAGTATTATTACAGTATAGAATGTGGCGATAGAAGAGTACAGTGAGGGTTAGCCTAACTCTTGACTTGTTTTGAAGTGACTCAAGATGTCGGTTTCAACTTCTGGACTGTAATTGCAGTGAGTACATTGTCTGGAGTATATATTCTGGGGTTTGTCGTTGTGCATCAGGAAAATTTAGGATGTGGACACACGTGAGTTTAGGAGCCAAGGTTTAACAGGCAGAAGAGAAGAGAAAGAGAAACAGCTCTCTCCATAGAGACAAAGGGTCAGCTGGTGGTGAATGCCCTGGATTTTATGCTCCATTTTGAGGAGGCCGTGTCTGATGTATATAGGGCTCATAGATTGGTTCAATCAGGTATGACCTGTACATAGCACATGGGGTAGGCTGGTTGCCCCACCCTAATCTTATTATGCAAATGAACTTTCCAGGTGATTGGTGCCATCTTCTCTGCTCCTTACATTACACGTGGCTGACAAAGAGAGGGGAACGTGGAGGCCAACATCTTGAACATGATTGGCACAACTGCAGGTATCTATGTCTGTAGCTTGAATTTACAGGCTGCTCTTCATTAGAAAGGGAAGTAATTCAGGCCTGCTTCGCATTAAAAAGAAACACCTTACCCAGGATTCCCATATGCTTGCTACCCGCCTAAGTGATGTCTTCTTAATTCCTAGTATCATAATGGTCACTGTAGGACTCACTTTGGGATTGGCCAGCCATCCTGCTTTGTACAAAGCCTCCTACTCTGGGGATAGACAGGTGCGCTTTTTCCTACAGCTGAGGATCAGGAATGCATGTGGAGGTGGCTTACCCTGGCCGTCCTTGCTGGAGGTGAGCAGCGTTCCTTAGCAGCTGCCTGCCTGGGCATCGGTACAGGGAAAAGGGAAGGTCAAGGAGAGTCAGCCATGGTCAAGAATTTCTTCCCCACCTGGGCCCTGAAGCCTCCGGGATTCTCTGCCAGCAGGGCCCCCTGTGGATCCTTACGACAAGAATGAAACAGTTGAAGGTCTCACTGCATCTTCTAGTGGATGGCTTGTCTTTTGTTTCCTGAAGTCACAATGGTGAGACTGTTCAGGGGCTTGTGTGGTTTTAGGCCTCAGGCTCCAGTGCACAGGAGAAAGGGCAGGGTTCGCCTCCCAGCTCTTCTGCTTAATGACCTTGAGCAAGACTTGGTGATCTGGTTTGGATTTGTGGCCCTGCCCAAATCTCGTGTCAAACTGTAACCCCCAGTGTTGGAGGTGGGGCCTGGGGGGAGGTGACTGAATCATAGGGGCAATCACTCATGAATGATTTAGCACCATCCTCCTAGCGCTGTTCTCATGATCGAGTTCTCATGAGAGCTGGTTGTTTTAAAGCATGTGGCACGTGCTGCCTTGCTCTCTCTTCTTCCTGCTCTGTCCATGTAAGAAGTGCTGGCTTCCCTCTGCTTTCACCATGACTGTAAGTTTCCTGAGGCCTTCCCAGAAGCTGAGCAGATGTAGCCATGCTTCCTGTATGCTACAGGACAGTGAGTCAATAAAACCTTATTTATCAATTATCTAATTTCAGATGTTTCTTTATAGCAGTGTGACAACGAAACACTATACTTGGTGTCATCAAGAGAGCGGTGGAGAATATTAGGACTGAACCCACAGGGGTGATATGAGGATTCTACAAAAATACACCTGAAGTGCCTTGCACAGCTTATGGTGCCTAGAAAGCCTTCCGTTCAAACTGGGAATAAGTGGTTCCTAGTGAGATTTGGGGGCCTCTCATTGCCTTATGGCAAGTGCTGCCCCTCCAGCCCTCACTCCTGCTTGTAGCTCTAAATTACATGTGTTCCCTGTGGGCTGGCATGGGGAGACCTGTGAGATTCTGGGCTGTAGGCATCATGTCCCCATCCTAAGGGCTACATCAACTGAAGAATCACCTTGGGCAACATACTTGAGGAAAACAACCAGCTGGATTGAGTGTTATTAGGTTCCTGATGATGTCAGAGGTCCCAGTGTTAGGACCGTGGCACCTCTACAAAGCTGGCTGGGGCTAGAGAGGCATTTGCCAGTTCGCTCTGCCTCTGTCTCTCTTTTTCCATCCTTCTTTGTGTCTCTGACTCTCTCTCTCTCTTAGTCATGCAGGAACAAAAGCTACAGGATTCGGGCAAATTACAGCACCCTCTAAAAACACCGATTAACTGTAGACACGTGCAATGACAAGCCAAATGAGGTTACTAGCTTTGTTGAAGGGGTGAAGACCCCAAACTGTGGGCATGGACTATATTGGGATATCAATAAACAGGGACGTAAGGAACGTTTGCATCAGATGCCCCTTGACCTATCAGGTAAGGCCTTCCCACCCCAGCTCCTTTAATGTCAGCATCATCTTTTAAATAAATTGTAAATGTTAATACCTGTTCATGGTAAACAGAACAAAACAAAACAAAACTAAATGTCACAAAGAACAAAATGATCCTTTCTCCTCTCATCTTTTCCCAGTCTTTAGAAGTAATCGCTTAACGCACCATATGCATTTCCTAGATAATGGCCAAAGTTCTGTTTACCTTGTTTTATTCTTTTCGATTGATTGTTTGCCTTAGGTGACAGAAGTGTTTCTCTGATGGTTCAAATAAGGTTCATGTCCCCAGGCTGTTTAATCCAACTGTATTAGTTTTCTAAGTAACAAATGATCATAGACTTGGTGATTTGAAACAGCAAAAATGTATCCTCTCACAATTCTGGAGGGCAGAACTCTGCCACCAAGGTATTGGCAGAGCTACAGTTCTACTGAGAGCCCTAGGGAGGGTCCCCCCTGGCTTCTCCCAGCTGCTGGTGACCCCATTTGCTCCTCAGCTTATGGCAGCATCCCTCCAGTCTATGCCTCCGTTCCCATAAGGCCTTCTCCTCTGGTCTCTGTGTCTTCTCATTTCCTCTTACAAGGATACCAGCCACTGGGTTTAAGGCCCACCCTAAAACTAGGTTATCTCATCTCAAGATCGTTAACTTAATTACACCTGCAGTGACCTTGTTTCCCCAATAAGGTCACCCTCTGATTCCAGGTGGACTTGAATTTTGGGGAGACATTACTCAATCACTACACAGTTTACTCTTTCTCCATCTCTCTTTTCCTGCTCCTCTTGACTAAGACAAAAGATATACAAGCTCTAAGTAGAGGTTGGCTCATTTTTAATACTCTGACAATTTGAGAGTGGCCAGCAGCCAGTGCAGAGTCCCCATCACTGAAACTGGAATTTGAAATAGTGCTATAAGCTCCTTGATCCACTCTGAGAGAAAACTTACCACCAACTAAATGTCCCTCAAAATGGTGATGCAAAATCAATGAAGGTCTTGATCAAAGATTCTTGGTAGTTTCCCAAAGATAGGCAGATCCTTAACTGGCTGTGAGATCTCAGCCAAAATTCTCAAAGTCTTCATCTATAAAATGATGGTGGCAATGTCATCTATTATTGGTATTGGGTGAATTAAATCAGAAAATGTATTTGGAGTGTTTGGTGCAGTACTTGGAATATAGTGAATGCTCAGTAAAGGATGACTTTGAAAATCTTAAGAACTGAGAACAGACTTCAGCACAGCATATATAATGAACATGACTGGGGATATAAATGATTCTTAAAAGAGAGGGCATGAAATAAGCCTGTATCAGGGCCCAGGAATAGAAGCAGACATAGTCGGATCTTATCATAATGACAGGGCATCAGAATCCGTGTCCCAGCAGGCAGGAAAAGCACAC